ACTGACGATGACCGCGTAGACCTTCAGGACACAGCTCCAACCGCCAAGCTGAATGCTTCTGTCCCTCCAAGCATTAGCCGCATGCCTGATGTAGTCGCCAGGTATTTCGCTACCCTCATAGCAGCCGTCCAGTAATCAGGACGGTGTCTCCCAGTCGAAACAAAGCGAGTCAGGAAGCTGAGGGGAAAAGCAAGGTACGTAAGGCAACCCACAAGCTCTGCGTAAAGACCACTATACTCAAAGGGCTCGTCGGGAAAAGGGCCGGTGAGTCTAGAGGAGTGGGCTGTACGGTGGAGAACTGAAACACGAAACGCATAAGAACCTACTGCACCATGTGTGACTGAGAGAGTGTAATGTTGCGAACGGCTCTGTCCTTGGTGATCTGCAAGCCAAGGTAACGGCGCAGCTCACCCAGGTCAGTGCACGTGCGTCTCTTCTGCAGCTCGGATTTCACCTCAGCTAGAGCGACCCTGTCTGGTGTAGCGAAGACCAAGTCGTCGACGTAGACAATAATGAAGAACGGAGTGGAACCAGTGCGAACAAACAGCGATGGGTCGGTGGACGAAGGACGGAACCCGAGGTGAGCAGAGTGGTGCATAGCGTGTCGTGCCACTTACGGGGCGCCTGGCGGAGACCGTAGACTGGCCGCCTTAAGCTCCACTGGGTTCCAGGAGGGAAAGCCAGTGAAGCCAGGAGGACGGTTTAGCCAGATCTCCTCGTGTAGGCGGCCCTGGAGAAAGGCAGTGGAGAAGTCGAGGGAGTGCAGCTCGTAATCTCGCTGTGCTGCAACTTGAAGTAACACTTGAAGAGTATTCATCTTCGGGGTCAGGGCGAAGGACTGGAAGAAGTCAACTCCCTCGCGCCGACTGAAGCCCCTAGCCACGTAGCACGCCTTGAAGACAGGCGGTGATCCCGGCAGCCTCTTCACCTTGAGGATCCACATGCGATCGACTACGTTCGTCCCAGGCAGGGGAATTGCGTCGACGTAAGTGCTCGTGGATCTCCAAGACTCCATCTCTGTCTCCATGGCCGCTATCCACTGAGAGGCTCACTGCCCTGACACTGCCTCACGGTACGTGCGAGGAGTCGGTATGTCAAGGGCGTCGGGGTCTCCCTCAGGGGCTAGCAGCATGGCACAGAGATGGGGAGAAGCAATTGCCAAGAACTCCAGCTCAAACTGCCTGTCCTCTAAAACGTCACAGCTAAAAGCAGAACCACCCCCGGCGGACAGAGGACGAGCAAACACAACACTGGTGGCGTATTCAAGGCGGCGCGTGGTGGCAAAGTTAAAGACAACGGCAGTAAGCGCTGAGACAGACGACAGAGAGGCACGGGGGTTCGTGACTAGAGAGGCGAGAACACGTGTGACAACAAGACGGGCGGCATGGTAGTAGTGAGTGATAGGGGTAGAGGTGGAGGCTGTAAGAGACGACTCAAGAGGTGACGGGAGAACAGACTGAGGCGGAGAACGACGAGGACTTGAACGAAGTAAGATAGTGCGGAGGTCGTCAAAAGGAGAGGAGGGATGTGTACGAGCGAGACAACGAACTGTCCAGTCGTGCTAGACAACAGCAAGAGACGACTGTGACCAAGGAGGAGAGTAAACAACCAGAGACGAGTCCGAGAGGGGGGGGGGGGAGAACGTAGGACCGTAAGCAGGAGGACACAGTGAGCGGTCTGGGGAGGGGAAGGAAGACCAACGGCCCGAAGGCCACTCACGGGTGGAGACAACGGCTGCAAGGTACAAGATATAGGTGGCAAAAGGTTGAGGGTATACCACCAAGGGACTTAATAGGAATGCGCTACTACACTAACTAGCATGTATGCAGTTATATAAGATTTTGAGTTCTAACATCCCCCCCTTCTGCAAGTGTTGCAGTCAGCGACCGCAGGTGGGACCACCGTCGTTGACTCCCACGGCAGGTGCCCGCCTGCGGTTTAACCCCCCGCAGCGGGTGTCGGTGTGTGCGTCGGGGGCGACCATGCCCACAAACGACGGTCACGAGGAGGAGGAGGAGGAGAAGAAGAAGAAGTGCAGTGGAAGGAAGAGAAATGATACGAGAAAATGCAGCGGGAAACAAAACGAGAGAAAACGAAACGAGAGAAACGAAAGAAAATGCTCTCTCTCTCACCACCCCCTCAAACCCCAACCCCCCCCTCCCCCCCCCCCCCTCCCCCCAGCATCGAGCGCTCTAGAGGAAGAGAGAGAAAGGAGGAGAGGTTGCTGGTGGCGATTTGTGTTGGAATTAAGGACGGAGTCGAGGAAGATTAGGGGCCGAAATAACTCAAAATCGTTGGACTATAATTTTGGACAGAAAAAGTTGACTTCACAAAATAGGCCGACAACAGAGAAACACACTGTTAAAGCTTCACTGATTTCAGATATTTTGTCGCTCTAGACCGTGGCTACAACTCCCAATTTGAATCGTATAAAAAAGTGAAGCATTTCTCGAGTTATGAATTTCGGTGCACTGGGGGGTATGCTGGAGCTGAAACCATATAACCATATACCAACGAAATATCAAAACGGGCATCACACTACGGCATCAAACAGGCGCCCCGCCTCTGGCAGCAGCACCTCCACCAAATCATCACCGACATCGGCTTCACCCAGCTGCCCCATGATCCTGGCATGTACCGCCTTCACTTTTGCGGCGACTACATACTTCTCGCAGCGTATGTGGACGATCTCCTTTACACGCGTACCAGCAACGAGCTTCTCGATCAGTTCAAGAAAAACATCGGCAACCGCATCGAAATCACCAGCACCAAATACGTCGGTTCCTGGGCCTGTACATCACCTACGCGGCTGACGCTATTCACCTCTCCGCTGCTAAGTATGCCGACACTCTGTCTGCAAAGTTCAACATCAAGCCGACATCTCTCTCCACCCCCTACCTCTCCCCGGCATCACCACACATCCCCAACACCACCCCACTCAACCCATCTGCACACCAACTGTACCAGCAGCAGCTTGGGTGTCTCCTCTTCATTGCAGTCACCTGCAGGCCTGATTTGTCATACATTTCAAGCCAGCTCGCTCAGTATGCTAAGCGACCTGAAGGAAAGAACATGTTGGACCTGCAGCGCACCATGCAATACTTCTTCTCCGCACCGCACATTGGACTCACCTCTCCACCCTCACGACTCGCACATTCAGCCTCGTTGGCTACGTAGACGCCGATCACGCCACGGACCCTGCGAATCGACGGTCCCGAACCGGTTTTCTCTTCCGCCTCGAGCCTATCGGACCAATCTCCGGAATTCACAGAAACTGGAAATTGTGGCACTCTCCTCCGCTGAAACCGGATTCATCGCCGCCACGTCAGCCGTTCGCGAAAAAACTCTACCTCCAGGAGGAGAAAATTGCGACATTGGCGATCCATAACCTTCAGTGCGACAACCAGAGCGCGAAGAAACTCGGTTTTGTCAACCGCACCAAGCGCTTCGCACTCCGCTATTTTTTTTCGTCAAAGACGAAGTTGACAAGGGCAAAGTCATCTCAACTTACTGTCCCACCGGTGACACGACAACTGACTTCCTCACCAAGAAGCTGCCGCGTCAGCAGTACCAGCACTGTGCGACCATCTGCGGTATAACCAAGAGCGTCAAGACTTCGCTCCTCCAGGAATCAAGGGGAGTGTTACGAGATGGAATCGTTGTTCAACATTCATGAAGTAAAGAAACCTTAACGCGAAGATGACTGCAGCGAGGACGAAGGCCGGTCGACACAAAGAGTTATCAAAGACGGTTGGAAGCAGGAAGTAATTGAAGTGCAAGCGCAGAAAAACTTAAGGGGAACGTACCCCCTCAGAGTACATGGCTAGCTAGGACACTTTGTATTCACCAGTATTCATGGTATATTCACTTCTGTCGAGATTCAATTCTCCCTCTTCTGACAGAGTCCGTATCCGACCTCACTAGAAAACTTCCGCTGCTTCACTCTCGTGCGATAAACCTGAGATGATCCTATAAATCTGTCATTTCAGATTGTAACACCTGAAATCCCTTAATGTTCTGACAATGTCCTTCGCTAAGTAGGCCCCGAAAGTGGCCTAACAACATCCATGTCAGTCTTATCCACGAAGTACTTCAGGGCGTACTGCAATATCAGTTGTAGTTAATTTCATGTATATATTCAACCATTTAGAACTAGTATTCAAACATTATTATCCTACCTGTTTGAGTCGTGACACCGCAACCGTTGTCCATAGAGTCAGGAGGTCGCGTCGCGGTAGTGGAATTGTCATAGTACGGAATTGTGAACTTCCTGTGACAGCCGGCCAACAACAACCCAGAGTGCACTGTCTGACAGCCTTCCCGCCTCCTGACAGGCAATGCAGGGTTGTTTGAAGGGCGTTCGAGCAAAATCCTACGACACCCTGATAATGCGAGGGCATAAAACAAGCCGATGTCGGTCCTCAATGGATGCTGGTTATTGACGGTGGACGCTATTTGATCTGGGTCGGGTATCGTAATTCGTTTTGAGAGATCCAGGAGGATCGCGCATTTTACAATCGCGAAAACCCGATGAGAAACCAACCTGAGGGCTGGGCGAATCAAGGAAACACCCAGGGGTAGTCTCCGAGGGGAAAAAGAAAGAACCAGTCACAAGGGATAGTCTCGCTCCTCAAAAGCGACTTCATGAAGCTGTTTAGGTCAGTTCACATTCATCTTTCTTAGGCAGAAAAACCTGCTCGTTAGCGCGATCGACGAGCGCTTCGACAAGCCGGCATCCCACGAAGGCGCTTCGTGGCCAACCAATAAACCCACACCGCATTCCATCAGAGTTACGAATCGGCGGGCTGCGTTAGGGTCGCTCTGAATACAAAGCTGTCACCGTGACGACTTTCAGCCATGGGCTTGTCGTACAATCTCTCAAGCAGATACTTCGATCTTCGCTATCCTCAAGCAGCTGTCGCCACTCGGCAGCGTCGTCACGAGGGCGTCACGGCGGCGCGGCCCGCAAGACCCAGCGTGGTGTTGAGGTGTCTGCCGCCATGACCGTCCATGATCAAGCGTCGGCGCTACTCGTAGCCGCCATCATGGCGGTTCTTCTCCTCTGCCCGGCAGCACTGCCAGCGGCAGCGGACGCGTCCGTCATGTTCCGCTCTTCCCGCCGCCTCACGCAGAGTCTAGGTCTGCTCACCCTTCCGCAATCGTGGTTTCGTGGCGCGCGGCAGGAACGCTCGCTGGTCGAGCAGGCTGGCGGCACAGGCGAAGCACCCCCAAAGGGCGGAGGCGGCGGCGCGACACACCACGGGCCCACCAGCGGCGGCGTCGCCCACAAACCCACTGACCCAGCGGCGGCGGCGTTGGCGGACGCCGGCGGCGGCGTTGGCGGCGCTGGCGCCGGCCAGGCACCCTCTGACGTCGGCACAGGCGATGGCGCGCGCCAAGGACCAGCATCCGACGCAGGTGAAGCACAGGCGGCGGAGGCGCCAAGGACTAGCACAGGCGGCGGAGGCGCCAACCAAGGACCCCAAGACGCAAGCGCAGGCGTCGCCCTCGGACCCAACGTTGGCGGTGCGGACGCAGGCGAAGGACCTGCCATCGCCGGCCGTGGAGGTAGCGCAGGGACGAACCAAGATCCCACCAACACCGGCGCAGGCGGAGTCACCCAAGGACCCCCAGGCGCCAGTGGCGCTGGCGGCGCAGGTGCCGGCCAAGGACCCCCCGACGCCGGCGCAGATGGAGATGGAGCAGGCAGCGACCAAGGGTCCCCCTTGGACGCAAGCGAAGCAAGCGCCAACGGCGGAGGTGGCGGAGCTACAAACCAAGGGCCCACCAGCAACGCAGACGGCGGCAAAGGACCAGCATCCGACGCAGGCGAAGCGCCCGCCAATGGCGGAGGCAGCGGAGCTTCACACCAAAGGCCCACTGGCAGCACAGGCGGCGGAGGCGCCAACCAAGGATCCCCCGACGCCAGCGGCGACGGCGGTGCAGGTGCCGGCGAAGGACCCGCCAACGCCGGTGGTGGAGGCAGCGCAGAGACGAACCAAGGGCCCACCGGTGCAATCGCAGGCGACACAGGCACCGCCGGCGGCCAAGTACCCGCCGACACGGGCAGCTCAGGCGCCAAACAAGGCCCCACCGACGCCAACCAGCCTAATGCCCCCATGGTGCGGCATCATGGCGGACATCGCGCGGCGGCAACATCGGGAGTGCGCATGCGGGACCTGGTGGTGTGGCGGGCCGCCAAATTCCAGCTGAAGGCGCGTGAAGCCCGGGCGCACATGGCGGCCGGCAAGGCCGCGGCAGCCGTGGCGCATTCGCACGCTTCGGCGCTGGAGGATGCGACAAACGTGAAGGCTTGGACCGGCCTGGCACGCAGTTGTGTGGAACAGGTGAGACAACCACCTTCAGTCGGGCTGAATGAGTTGATGCTTCCAGATTCTGCTCCTATGGCAAGCATTCCCTGCACTTGATGGCAGTGCATTGTGCCGTCCTGATGGCCCAGTACTACTATGTGATCTGTGTGTAATGTGCCATCCTGATGACATTTCTAACGCATGCATGGTGCGTGGCAGATGGCATTGGCGTCAGAGAGTGTGGAGGAGGCAGCGGGGATGATGGAGAGCGGCAGCGAGGACGTTAACCTGCCGCGCATCCACCTCTCCAACGCCGTCACGCTCGCGCTCGACTGTGCCGAGGGATTCGACCTCTTTTCACCGGGCAGCTCCCGCAACCCTCGCATCAAGGCCCTGCAGGTGCGTGCCTTCTCGGCCCCACTTGCTGCACCGTGCGCATGGCAGCATGGCATAGCTCTGATCTCCTCGCACTCCGAGCTCGCTTCTTGCCACCCTTCGTTGCCCAGATTGTCGCACCCTGGAAAAGTTATTTTTTCATCAAGCGACTTGCCTTTCTGCAGTGTTCGTAAGGTGCTCATTATGGTGCACACGGCCTTGATGGCGGCACGTGTGTTGGTGCGTGCAGAGAGCAGCGATGGACGTGCGGGCGTCGGTGATGGAGGCGCTGGGGCGAGCAGCGGACATGGCGGCCATAATTGCAGCAGGCGACGACAGCGCTGCTGCTGCCGCCGTGCCTTCGCCCTCGCCCACTCGCCGCCGCCTGTTGCAAGCTGCCAGTGCGGGCAGGGCTCATCATGCAGGCCCCACCACCACCGGTGCAGGCACAGCCACTGCAATCACGGTGGCCAACCCCCACAACTCCATCCCCAACCCCCACACTCATGGTGGTCCCACCACCGCCAACCGCACTGCCAGCCATCATGGCGAACCCTTCGACTCCACTCATCATGGCGAGCCATCCGACTCCCCCAGCTGGACCCACACTGACGGCCCCAGGCCGTCACTACTACCACCCTCCCCGCCTCCTTCCCCCCCTCCCTCTCCCCCTCCCCTTTCGCCTCCCCCTCCTTCCCCTCCTCCTTCACCCCCTCCCCCTTCGCCTCCCCCTCCTTCCCCTCCTCCTTCCCCCCCTCCCCCTTCGCCTCCCCCTCCTTCCCCTCCTCCTTCTCCCCCGCCCCCTTCCCCTCCCCCTCCTTCCCCTCCTCCTTCTCCCCCTCCCCCTTCGCCTCCCCCTCCTTCCCCTCCTCCCCCTTCCCCTCCCCCTCCCTCCCCTCCTCCATCCCCCCCACCACCTTCCCCTCCTCCTCCCTCCCCTCCTCCTCCACCCCCCTTCCCTCCTCCTCGACCTCCCCCCCCTCCTCCTCCACCTCCCTCCCCTCCCCCTTCCCCGCCCCCATCTCCGCCCCCCCCCTCATCACCCGTTCCGCGCATCACCCCCACGGTCACCGTGGCACAGGATGGTTCGGGGAACTTCCTTACCGTGCAGGTGCGTGTGATAGAGACTGCGAGTGCGAGCACATGCTTACAGGAGAGGAGCATTCTCCCTCACATCACTTGTACGCTGGCCTCGTCTTCACATGTCTGCGTGTGCCTTGTCTGTCCTCCCTTGGGGCGAGCAGGAGGCGATCAGGGCGTACCCATCGGGGTTGAAGGGGCGCTATGTGGTGTTCATCCGGCCGGGCTTGTACCGTGAGAAGGTGGCCATCAACTCCACCGCCAAGAACGTCACGCTACTGGGGCTCGGTGCTGCATCCACTGTTATCTCTTGGAACGACAATGCCACTGCTGGCACTGCCACCTTCCAGACCCCCACTGTTGGTAAGCAGCGACCCACTCTCCCTCGCTCCTCCCCTCTCTGCTCCCGGCAGCTGCTCTGCACGTTTCTGTTTGTGCTTCTCCTCCCTCTATTTCCATCTTCTGAGGTGCTTACCGCTGCTGTGCTCTCTCTCCCCAACGTTCCCCTCCTTCTCTAACCCTCTCAAACTCTATCCCTCTCTCCCCATCTCTCCCTCCTCTCTATCCTTCTCAGCTGTGGACGCGAGTGGCTTTGTGGCCATCGGCATTCGCTTTGAGAACACGGCAGGGAGGGCTGGGAACCAGGCGGTGGCGTTCAGGCAGACGGGCGACAACGCGGCCTTCTACGAGTGCGAGTTCATCGCCTGGCAGGACACGCTGTATGTGCACGGTGGGCGCCAGTACTACCGCAACTGCCATGTGAACGGGTCGGTGGATTGTCTTTGGCAACGGTGCGGCTGTGTTGGACAACTGCACGTTCCTCATCCGCCCTCACAGCGGGTCGACAGTGACAGCATCAGGGCGCACCAACTACACGGAGAACACCGGCATCGTCATCCTCAACTCTGCCATCCACGGCGACGTCGTCAACAAGGCATACCTCGGGCGCCCCTGGAGGGCCTATGCCCGAGTGGCTGTCATCAACACCACAATCAGCAATGTGGTACGTCCTCCTCTTGCACTCTTCCCTCTTTGACCTGCTGTTCCCTTTCTGCCATGCTGCTGTCATCGCACTGCCTCAACCCTCATCCCTCACACTGCACTTGCCAATTGTGTGCCACTCCCCACAGCTGAATACAAATGGCTGGCTGGACTGGGGGGGTACAGTGTACAACACTACTACGTTCATCGAGCAAGGCAATAGTGGGCCGGGGTCTGTGGGGCCGCGCATAGCATGGGCACTGCCAGGCATCGTGACCGACCCTGCGCAGGTGGCCATGTACTACCCCAACAGCTTCCTCGCCCCCTTCTCCTCCATCGCCAACCTCATTCCCTTCCCCTGGCTCTGACCCTCTCTCCGCCCATGCTACTGCTTCTCCTCCCATTTTGGAGGCCAGTACGTTCGGCCTCCAAAGCAACCGCAACCTCAGGCACCTCTTTTAATGGAGTAACATAAGACTAGCATAATTTAGTGTAGAATCTAACCTTTATATATAGCATGACCCCCGTACTAAATGGAGGGGGTGTTGTAAATGTGATGGTCCATTGCTGTATATAACCCGTATCGTTACGGTACTGGGTAGTCTATTGTTCAAGGGTTGTTTACCCAAAACAGTACTCCAACCTATCCAATATTTCCAAGATTTTCAAGGTGGGGGTATAAAAAAACCTTGAAATATGGTGGGTAGGCTTATAATGTGGTAGAATTTATACCCCCATGGGCTAAATAAATGAGACTTATGGATTTTACTTTTAGGGACATAAAAATGTAGAACTCGCCTTAGCGGTTTCATTAGCGAAGACAACACAGTCGGTCAACTGGCCGAAACTTCGAGAAAACGGCCACGACGCAAGATTTCCGCGCCAACGCATCCTGACTGGCCCCCACGCCTGGCCAATCCGCTTTTCAGACGGCGCATGCTGATGCCAGCGGGTGTAGGACTGCAACAAGATGGGCGTCCATGTTCAGAGAACCGCTGCCAACAAGGCATGGTTTATGGAGGGGCGATCGAATAGGAAGGGAATGCAAAAGATTCCCTTCCTACCACGCCTCCCTCTTTGCCACCTGGTTCCTCTGCGAGGACCGTGTGGACGCTCCACAGGTTACCGATGAGGAACCCGAGGCGCCTTTCTGGCAGGGGTCTTGAGGGGGTGGCCAGAATCCGCGTCATTTCAAAGATGAAAGGGTTCGTTTTCTTCCTTCTCCCGTCCCTCAGCCTACGCCATGGCGGGACTGCCTGCCTCGGCGTTTCTATTTAAAAGGCCGCCTACACCTGGAGTTTGTCGCGGCCGCCACGATGTGCAATGGCACCGCTCCTGTCCTCCTGCTCCGCCGAATCCTCCTGCTCCGCCAGCCCCGCCAGCGCCACCAGCCCCGCCTGCGCCACCTGCTCCTCCCTCACCTCCTTTTCCAGCCGTGTTTATGCATGGTCAGCATGTACTAACCCTGCTCTTGCCAAGATCCGCCCCAGCCCACCACGCGCGCGAGCCGACCGGGCCCGATGCTACAGCGGACAACGCGTCTGAGACTGCCGAGACTGGAGGCACTGGCGAAATCCGAGTCCCGCACCCCGAGCGTGTATGGCAGGACGATGGCGATTGGTCGGAACCTGATGCTGGCGACGATGATGGCATGGAGTATTGGTCGCATGACGGCCTCCCTGAACACCTGCCCATCCCCACGTTTCCCCTTCCTAACCGTAAACGCCCTCATCCCTCGCGTGCGAATCGAGATGCCCGTCCCCCCTCCCCCAGAAGCAAGGTTACGACACTTAAGCGACATGCGTACACCACTGGCGAGAAGCTGAAGTGGGTCGACCGCCTCGAAGTCACCCACAACGTCAGTGAGGTTTTGCGCGAATCCGGTATCTCCCGGCGTTCGATAGACGAGTGGGTCACAAAGCGCAAAGAGCTGGAGGCAGCCGCGGAGTGTCGGAAACGACTTCACGGAGCCGGCCGGGCATCGTGGTACCCTGACATGGAGCTGCAGGTGTATACACGGCTGCTGATGGCACGCGCGAAAGGCGTCGCGGTGTCTGTGGGGAGGCTTCAGCAATGGTCCCACGAGTTGATGAAGGTGCTGTATCCCGATGTCAATTGGAAGGGGCCGAATCGATGGACGAAGCGGTTCCGGCGCCGCTGGAAGCTTTCAGTGCGAGCGAAAACTTAATTCGGCCAGAAATTATCCGACCATGAGTACCGTTGGTAGCTCGTTCATGCTGTTCCGTTGCTGTTCATTCCGCGGATTCATCTAATGTATCTTTTCCTGTTTATTATTTGCATCTACAGAGTGCGAGGTGCAGGTACGAAGCTTATGGAAATTCGTACGCAACATGCGTCGCATGTACGACATCGACCCACGCTACATAATCAATGCGGATCAGACGCCCTTGTGGCTCGAGATGCCTGCTGACACGACCCTTGAAGAGGTTGGTGCGCGGTCAGTGCCGGTTTGGAGAGCCGGATACCAGAAGGAAAGGGTGACGGTTATGTTGGCGTGCACGGCTTCGGGCGAGAAGTTGAAGCCGTGGGTTTTTTTTTCAAGAGAAAGCGCCCGCCACGCGGTGACTTCCCACCTGGTGAGTTGTCAACCAGTTCTCTCTGTGCGCAAGGAAATCATGTCATGTTCTAACCCTGCCGTTGTTTTACCTACCTTGTTCACTCTGCAGATGTGGTTATCGCCGCGCAACCAAATGGGTGGATGGATGCTGATGGCGTTCTCAAGTGGCTCGACGAGGCTGTGCGTCCGTACACAAGGCCGCCCTTCGGTCGTCGTGCAAGCAAGACCCTTTTAATCATCGACTCCTACCGCGGACACCTCACCGACGCGGTCAAGGAGAAGTACTCTCAGCTCGCCATCGTCCCCGGCGTGATCACGGCTGGCTGCACTTCTGAGGTGCAGCCGCTAGATGTGTCTGTAAACCGCGCCTTCAAAGCGTCAGTGCGACAACAATACCAGGCGTGGTTCGAAAGCGAGGGCATCAACAACCGCACTGCCAAAGGTACTGTGTGTTTCGTGCTGGCCTCGTGTCCCTTGACTTGTATTTGCACGTCTAACCCGCCGGATCCTATGTTTGCGCGCATGCAACCTTAAGAAGCCGCCACCTGAGCAGACGCTCAGGTGGATCGCGAAGGCATGGCGCGCACTGCCTACTGCTGTAAGAAGGGCTCATTTGGATGGGCATCAATAGGGCGAGGGGCATGCAGCTGCAACTTTGAGCTTAGGGAGTTTAGCTTTGGGTGTTACCACGGTTCCGACGACATGGGAAGGATTTGAAGCGGCGCTGAAAAGTACAAATTCGATTTGGTGAACGCCTCTGAAGCTGCCAGGAAGCGTCTGCGTCATTTGTGACAGATAGGAAACGTCCACGAGTACACACAACGATTTTTGAGCATCTGCAACAAGATAGACAATATCACGGAAGCATAGATGCGCGAGCGCTACCTCGAGGGGTTAAAGTCCGACATAGCGGATATCATCGCGATACATGGGTTGTGCACCTTCGATCAGTTGCCACTGCAGCAGAACGAGTCGACGCAGTACAAAGCCAATGGGGTTTTGACGATCGCGATAAGGGATACAACAAACAGATCAATGACTCTTGCTCGAGGGGTGAACCATCTCCCATGCGAATTAATGCAGTTAACAGTGACGACTCACGGGAAACATGATTTAGGGGGAATTGTCACTACTGCAAAAAGTCGGGGCACATGAAGCGGGATCGTCAACAGCTTAAGGAGAGGCAGCAGGGAAATGGGAACCGCCAGTAGATAGAGGGTCGCTATCTGGTGTGAATGCTTCCGAACCAGCCAAGCCTACCAACGTAGAGGAGACGGCCTTAGAGCAGTCATCTACGCCGAACGAGGTAGACACTGTTGATCGTCCAGTCGTGCTTCTGGGGAAGCTTCTAGGAATTCCTGTCAAGATTCTCATAGAGAACGGAGCTAGCCATTCGTTCGTCTCTTCTTTGCTAGTTAGTCGTCTTCATCTCAAAGCAGATTCTGCATGCAACCTCAACTTCCCTAAACCCTAAACCATAAACCCAACTTCACATATGACCAGATATTCGCAAGTTGCGCTTAGTGCTAGGACCAATAACGGTTAAGTGTGACTTCGACTCTTCAACGCTGGACGGTTACGATTTCATCTTCGGTGGAGATTGGTTCCGGACGGTTGGCACTCAGCTCGATTGGGCTTAGGGAAGCTGCAGTGTCAAGGTAGACGGGGAGTTTTGGGAGCAGCCACAGAACGATGGGGCCACATCATCCACAGCTATCGTCAATGATGTTCGTGTGCGGCAGCTGGTGAAGCGTGCGGCACGGATCTTCGCGGTTTTCCTTGAGGAGGTGGAAGCCGAGGAGGGGAAAGGAGGGAGCGAAGCAGTTGGCGATAAGACAACTCTTCCTGCTGAAGTGAGTGCACTCTTAGCAGAGTTCGTAGATGTCTTCCCCGACGAGTTGCCCTTAGGGTTGCCTCCCAGCCGTGCAATAGACCATCGGATAGAGTTGGAGCCGTGCACTAGACCATCAGTAGCGAAGCCACAGTGGAGGTTGAGTCGAGCAGAGACAGAAGAGATGACCAACAGGTTATGCACTTTCTCGCGCAGGGTTTCATCCAGCCATCTAAATCACATTGGGCAGCACCGATCCATTTCGCGCCTAAGAAAGACGGAGGGTTACGGGTGTGCATAGACTATCGCGCACTGTACGCCGTCAGCAGTGCCGAGAGTAGAGGATATCCCAGATGCAGTGAAGGGCGTTATAATATTCTTTAAGATTGACCTTCGTTCGGGATATCATCAGATTCGAGTAGTTCAGGAGAATCAGCACAATACATCATTTCGTACGAAGCAGGAGTTGTACGAGTTTAGGGTTCTACCGTTCGGTTTGACCAACGCCCCAGCGACGTTTCAGACGCTCATGAACACTGTCCTCTCCGACTTCCTAGGTTCGTTCGTTGTAGTTTATCTAGACACCATCCTAGCCTTCTCCAAGACGAAAGAGGGGCAGCTGCAGCACTTGCAGAAGGTCTTCGAGGTCTTCGGAAGGAGCAGCTGTACGCTAAGCAGACAAAGTGCAAGTTCTTTCCTCTCCGAGGTCAAGTTTCTAGGCCACGTCGTATCCGCTAATGGCATTAGGACCGACCCAAATAATTTCGCAGCAGTACAAGGTTGGGTTACTCCGATCTCAGTCAAGGAGTTGCCGAGCTTCCTCAGATTCGCGAACTATTACCGTCGCTTTGTTCAGGGTTACGCATCGATTTCTGGTCCACTCACCGACCTACTTCGAAAGAGCGTAGATTTCGTTTGGGATCCAGCGCAGCAGCATACAATCGAGCAGATGAAGCAGT